TGCCTTTTAAATAAGGATATTAACTAGTCAAAATTTAAGCATTTATAAGTTCATTATTTTTCTTTTAGAGCAATATTTTTTTTCGCAATAACACATTTATCTTGTTTATTAATTCTTTATTATTTTCTCTATTTACGAAAGTAAAAAAAGTTCCATGTTATTATTAATTAAGAAATATATGAATTATTCAGCAAAAAAAAAAGAAAATATATAAATTAAAAAGATAAATTTCAAAATTTAAGAGAGAAGTGAGAAATTGGAAAAAAAAAAAATATGAAACACATGATTATAAAGACGAGAACTTGAAAACAATCATGAGAGACTAAATTAGTAAAATATAAGTATGAACTAAAATCAATTAAAAAAAACCCCCTTCATGGAGTAAATTTACTTTCTACAAGTAAGTCAGTTACAATACGTGTCTTAATGAGTTAAAAAGAAAAAAAGCCACATACATGTGTCATAATTAATATTTATAGTGAAGTCTTTTAACAAAAAAGAAAATGGCGTTCTTTCCTAAAATTGTAAACTTGAGTTTTCTCTTATTTTTAATTAATATCTTTTTTAATTAAATAATTATATTAATAAAAATATACTAATTAAGAGTAAAAAGTAAAAATTTAACTTGTAAATTCGTTTCAACAATTTTCTCTTAATTAAGATACAGAGCTTTGATATTGGGGGCCTTAATGAAGGGTTAGGCCTGGGCCTTGCCCTTCAGCGGACACTGCTCCAAACTAACCAAAACTTGTTAGCCCTGTTTCTTGTCACGTTCTCAGTTGGGATTATTGTTATGTGAAGCAGTATGTTTCTAAAGGCTAAATTTAATTAAAATCACTTTTTAACAAAAGGGTAGGTAAATCGACGAAACCTTTATTCAAAACCGAATTCTTTTTGTAGAATTCTCTCTCTCTCTCTCTCTCTCTCTCTCTCTGTTTTTTTTTTTTTAATAAGATTGTGTCCTCTAAACTTGAACGAATAACTCAATACATAGAAAGTCTTGAAAATAAGATAGAAAAAATAAATAAAAGATAGAAAAGAAAGAAGAACAAAGATTTAATATAGTTCGGTAATTTATTTACGTCCACGAATTAAGGGTCCGTTTAGTTTGTCAATTTGAATTTTTAATTCGAGTTGAGATATGATTTTATGTGAGAGCTTTTTACTGTAGCAAAAAAATTAGATATGATTGTTTGTGAGAGCTTTTTACTGTAGCAAAACTCAAATTTTAAACTCGAATCAGCAAAATGAACGGGGTCTAAGAATATGCTCACTCTTTTATTCACTGATAATTTATAATGAGTCTCATCATGGGTAATAAAGCTAATCACTTCATGATACATATTGTCTACAGAGTTGACTTTCTATAATTATCTTCCTACAATCAGACAATTAATCTCCTATAATTATACAAGAGGATTTGTTCACTCTAGAAGTAGGAAAGAACTCCTTCAAGTTAGTGCATACCAACTTGGGAAGAACAAGGGGTAGTGATAATGAATCTTCAATCGCACTCTTCAACGGCGTTCTTTAGTGAGATCACGAGTAAAGTATCAAGAAAGAATCAGATCAAATCAAATGAGATTGAGAAATCAATGGACCAATGGAATCAACATACCAAACTCAAGTTCACATGAGCTTCACAACATGGTTTCAAATCAAGAGATCAATTTTCAGTGCCACACTCAAATTCGTATGAGCTTCACAACACCTTTTTTTTTCCTTCTCTTCGATGGACACTCTTCAAAAGAATCAAGGATTAATAATCAAGAATCAAGTATCAATAGATCATGACAGTTTTCACCCGTGCTTTTTGACAAGATCAATTATCAAGAGATCAATAATAAGATTACTTGGGATAAAAAAAGAATCAAATGGGATCATATAGAATTAGATAAATAAGATATTTGTTTGCGGTAGAAAAATATACAATGGATGATAAATCATAAATGAGCCTTAAAAAAGAGAGGAGAAAATAAAATTTTATCCTGCCCAAATAAAAAAAAGAAATAAAGGGGGGGCAGCATTAAAAATACACGTTAAAACGGTGCATCAATACGCACGTTTCAGAACATGGAGTAATGGCCAAAAGAGAGGAAAATAACTGTTACGGAATTCTCTTATATAAAGAAAAAAAAAAGAGAAGAAAACCTTTTCTGAAGACATAGGCGTTGGCGTTGGTGTGTGCAGCAAGGTAAAAGAGTGTGCAACAAAAAAAAATTGTGTGTGCAGGCATGTGGAAGAAAAGTGAGAGAAAAACAAAAAGTGTGTGTGTGAAGGTGACAGTGACGTGAGAAAAAAAAAGAAAATACATCTTCAAAAGTGCAATGCGGTATTTCAAAACAAGAAGGTAAATATATGTTTTGATATTTTCAAAGTGCGTCAGTTCCTCATAAGATCATACACCGAGGAATTATCCAAAATTTTCAAACCCAAAATTCAAACTACAAGTGGCTTGATCCCTCAATGGGGTATGTAGGCAACTCAGCTAAATTCACCGAGTTCAGCTGCAATTTTAAATCAATCCAAATTTTTCAAATTCATAAAAAATAGTATTTACTGTTTTAATTAGAATCAAAAGGTTTTCCTTTATATCAAGGGATTGTAATTAAGATGTTATTCTTATAATCTTGAATGTGTCGAATTAAAAATAATAAGCTCTTATGTTAATTAAATCCTAATATAGGTAAAATTATATTGTGTGTGAAATATTATTTCAATATTAATAAATATTTTACCCAACAATCTTCAAACAATTAAAAAAAAATTCCTTTTTGTTCAATATTTTTTCTTTTCAGATTCAACATTTTTTTTTTCTCTTTGTTCGTTATTCACATAATTTTTTTTTTCAATATTTATTTTCTCTCTTTCTCTGTTTTTTTTTTCTTTTTTCTTTTTTCTTCTTCTTCTCCCTTTTTTCTTCCTCTTAATCTTTTTTTCTTTTAAAGTTCAATATATATATATATATATTTTACATGTGCCTGTGGCAATTAAGCAAAAAATATATGTAGATCGATCACCAGGAGGTCAACCTTAGAGGCATGTTGATCTGAATGTGGTGCTGGTCTGGTGGGGCGAATTCGGACGAGGCGCAAGACTTCGGCAAGGCTCAACAAGGCGGTTTGACAGCGGATTTCAGTGCAGTGGTTCAATACGACGAGCCAAACCCGTGATGGGCGGTTTCAAATGGTTTTTCAAGGAGCACTCAAATAGTTCTTCCAATAATATTGGTTTGACTTTCACGGTTCTGCAAATGGTTTGGAAAGTTATTATTATTTTTTATTTCGAAGGGACATCAAAGATTTCTCAGTACGTTTCAAGGATTTTTTTTTTTTTTTTGGAACAGGTTTGAATTTTTTTTTTTCCTTTTTTTTGGCTGGAATTGGAATCGGGAGCACAGGATGAACGGATCGGTCCTAAGAGCTTAAAGTTCTGATACTATCTTGAAAATAAGATATAAAAAATAAATAAATGATTGAAAAGAAAGAAAAACAAAGATTTAACGTGATAATTTATCTATGTCTACGGATTAATAATACGCTCACTTTTTCATTCGTACAGATTGTCTACATAATTGACTTTCTATAATTAATTTCCTATAATTATACAAGAGGATTTGTTCACACTAAAAATAGGAAAGAATACTTCAACACAAAATAACTCAGAAAACCACTAAACAATAAATGAGTTACTATTAATATACTATAGTAGAATTCTCATTGTTATGCAAATGAAATACAAACAAAAAAAAAGCCAATGACCACCGGATCAAGTCATTGAACGTCATAAAATAATTAGGATAAGACTCGAATTTATAAGAAGGATGTTGGTTCAATTTTACATTGTGTATTTAAGATTGACTCCTCATAATTTTTTTTTAAACGTTAACGGTAAATACAAATTAAATTGTAAAACGTTTTAAATTCAAATCACGTACCGTTTGAATCAGCGAACAACTTGGGATATGTTTGGTTCATGGATTCAGAATCTTGATTTAAAATTATTTTTAATTTACGTATATTTTATGTGTAAAAAAATACTATAATAAATTACGAACTATAATTTAAATAATAGTACAAATACGACAACCAAACGCACTCCGAATCCTTAGCCTTCTTCACCTCATATGTGATTTAAAAATAAAAAAATTACAAAAGTGAAAAACCTCACATTTTTTTTCTCATTATATTACGTGTCACGTTGCAAGAGAAAGCTAGCCTACTGCCCTATCAACCTCATAGATTTCCCACTTCTCACAACCAAACTCTCTCTCTCTCTCTCTACGTGAAGAGAAGAGAAGAGAACAAAGTCCGTTAAAACGCACTTTCTCTTTCACTCTCTCTCCCCCAACAACTTTTTCTCAGCTTTTCTCTTTTTTTTTTTTTCCTTCCTGCGGTTATAACCTGTTCATTTCATTATTGTCTGCCAGAGATTCACCAGACTCCCCTTTTCGGCTTTCTTTCTTTTTCTCTTTCCTTTTCCTTTTTGTCCGTTTCTCAATCTCGCAACATTAATAATTACACTCTTTCACTCTTTCATTTTCGTGACTCTAATTACTAAATAAAAAAAAACCCACCAAAAATCAAAGCCATTAATATACATACATATTAATAATGCTTGACACCAGCCTTTGTCACGTTGTTTTTTTATCATTTATCTCCTCTGTATTTAATCCACCCTCACAAAAATCACGCTCTTTCTCATCCTCTTCCCCTGTTTAAAAAATTAAGAAAAAAATTAAGTAAGAAGTGTTATTAGTAAATTCTTTTTCCGATCAATAGATTAGATAAAATCACATTATATTAAAAAAATATTCTTAATAAATAGTTTTAATACAGATATAATGACCGAATTTAAGAATCTATTTAAACAGTTTTAATATAAATTTAATGATGGAAAGTGAAAGTAAGAAATCTATTTTTTCCAGTCTTACGTAAAATCTCAAAAATAAATAAATAAAAAACTTGAATTAGTAAAAACTTCTCGTTCTCCCACCGAAATAATCACCTCCTCAAATTAAATCCTACGAAGCCAAACAGACAAACAAACATGGCCTTCTTCTGCTTCTTCTCTTCCTCCTCTTTCCTCATCTTCTTCTTGTTATTCCTCCATCCCTCTTCAGCCCAAAACGACGTCGTATCTCCGACGCCGCCACCCCACTTCTCACCATTCAGGCCAAGCATAGCAGTAATAGTCGGAATCCTCACCACAGTCTTCTCCGTCACCTTCCTCCTCCTAATCTACGCCAAACACTGCAAACCCTACAACCACCACCACCACCAAAACCATGACACCAATACGACGCCGTTTTCCTCTTCCTCCTTAAGAAAGAACTCCGGCATCGACCGCTCCGTCGTCGAATCCCTCCCGGTCTTCCGGTTCGGCTCCCTCCGCCGCCACCGCCACCGCCACCTCGACTGCGCCGTCTGCCTCTGCCGCTTCGAAAACTCCGAGGTCCTCCGCCTCCTCCCCAAATGCAACCACGCCTTCCACGTCGAGTGCGTCGACACCTGGCTCGACGCCCACTCCACCTGCCCGCTCTGCCGCTTCCGGGTCGACCCGGAAGATGTCCTCCTCACAACGCCGTTTTCGAATCCGAATACTCACATGGACGACGCCGTTCCGGAGGACGTCGAAACGGGTTTCGCTTTCAGTAGCCGACGGGTTTCGGGTCGGCACTCGTCGGCGGGTGAGAGACGGGTTTTGTTACAGATCGTGGATACGGCGTCGTTTCGGAGCTCTTTGGATAGCTGGTCGTGGAGAAAGAAGAGAGAGAGTAATCAAAATAATCACAATAATAACAATAGTCAAGATTCATCAGTGGCCGTCGGATGCTTTGACCGGAAGGAGAGGAAGGACGGGCTGCTGTTGACTGAGAGGAGTACCAGAACTAGTACAAGTATCACCACGAGTAGGTTGGAGCACCGGATTATTGTGTCTCCACCGGGGGTCCAGTACGATCAGAGATGGAGCGACGTGCAGCCGTCGGATCTGCTGTATCTACGGTCAGAAATGATTATGAACGACAGCCGTAGATACTCGTCGTACTCATCAGCCTCGGGATCCGAGGGGAAGTCAGTTGGGATTCGAAACGACAAGGGCCGAAAACGACAAGAAGAGGAGAGTGTGGGTGAGGGAAGCAATAGCATTAATGCTGATATTGATGGTGGGAGTGGCAGAAGCAGGAGGATAATAAATACGACGAGAAGCGTGTCGGAAATCACGGGAATCAACAGGTTTTCCGTCTCAAACGACAACAATAGATCAGCGGCAAACGACACTACTCAACGACGACGAGGTCTTCTAAGGAGATGGCTGGCTTGGGTTTCTCAATTAAAGCCACCACCACTAGAAAATGACAATAGCAACGACATCAACCCCAATATTTTTTTAAAAAAAAAAAAAAAAAAAAAAAAAAAAAAAAACTCATATTATTATTAGCCCTTAGAATTATTGAGCCGGTTTAGTAACGTTTTCAAAATAATTTTATTTTCAATACAAAAGTAAAAATAAGATTATTTTGAGAATTATTCTGAGACTGATTCTAAAATTACGTTTAGTTAATTTTTTAAGAGATTATTTTGAGTATAATAAAAAAATAAAATCGTGTTTAGTTATAATTATTAATTAATATATTATAACATTATTGATAAATACAAAAAAATGAAAACAAAAAAGAAAAAATAACTTCTAATTGTTTTCTAATTTCTTCATGAAAATTATTCTCACTATTTTTTATTTTTATTTTCATTTTTAAAATATTTACTAAATAAACATGTTTGAAGATTATTTTTACTTTCGTGTCTTAAAAGGTGTGTAAAAACGTTTTAAAAGACAAATAAAAATCAATTCTAAAAGTAGCCAATGATTACACACTATCAAACGACGGCGTTTCGGTACTAAGTTGGAAAAATACAATTTAGCAGAGAGAGAGAAGAGGGAGACATAGCACGTTATAATTATTGGGGGAAACAAGGGAACAAAGCACGTGGACTGAAGAGCTAATTACAGAAATTGGTCTTTTATTCAAATGTTCTTCTTTTGGCAGTTTGTTTTCTTGGATATATTTAGACTCCGTTGAGTTTACCGATTTGAATTTAGTCACAGTAAATTTTTTTTAAAAATAATCATATTTAATTTTTTTATTACAGTAAAAAATTTTTACATAAAGTCATATCTCAACTCAAATTAAAAACTCAAATCAGTGAACTAAATGAGCTTTTATTATTATTATTATTATTATTATTATTATTTTAGAAATTTGAGAGTTTGTGTGTGTCTCTCTCTTTCATCTGCTTCTAGTGGCAGGTTATAGGAATTTGGAATTTTTGTTTCTCTGCTGAAGGGAATTTGGGGCGTTCGACAATTTTGTGTTGAGAAAAAAAAATTATTTCATTAGGATTTTCTGTTTTTAGTTTCCTCCATAGCATTAATTAGTAAAGTAACAAAAAAAAAATCCTATTACCATTGTGTAGTTTCAAACTTCCCATGATACTCAATGGATAGAAAATACTACTCTTGCTTTTTCTAACATTTTATTGTTAAAATAATTTGTATAGGTAAGGTTTCTCTAGGATTTAGAGAATAAGGTGCACAAAATAGCAATTATTTGAGTTCAATCAATTTTATGATAAAAAAACTTATATAATAGTAGTGTTGTGGCATAAATATGGAGAGAGAAAATTTACTTTGCGATTGTGGCCCAGAGGCGCAGAGGAGAGGATTGATTTGTGTGGTGTTATTAGGTAGAAGTGGACACCACATGCTATGAATATTGAATATTGAATAGTATACATGTTATGTAGGGTACAATATTTACTAAAGAGGGAAGTGGATGGCAATAATATATCAATATATATATATATATATGGAAATTGCCCATAAAATAATTAATCTGATGTGATATATACATATAAAATTAGGAAATTGCTATATACGTAAATATAGAGGAAATTGCTCTTATGAGATATATAAAAAAATAGGGAAAACTATATAGGGAAATGGCTCCTACGAGATACATATAAAAAAATAGGAAAAAAGGAAATTCCTATCACATTATTTTCATTATGATATGATCTAATTATGATACATATTAAAATACAGGTAAAAAAATGGAATATCAAGATGTTCACTTTCACAAAATTTAGTCTTTGAATGTAGCTAGTTAAAATTGCTAATTATAAATTAACATACTTTATTATTAGGGGAGAAGGAGGGAAATAAGTCAAGATCTAGGAGGAATTAAAATTAATAGGATAATATTTTAGAAAAGTTAATAATTAAATCAACTTAAGATAAATTCAGATTTATAAACACATGAATTTCAAAAAATACCCTTGGTAAATATAAGATATGTTGGCGGCCACAGTCTCCCGTCACCAGCCGGCTGTCGGCGGGTCTTCGATCATAACCTGACATATTATGATCCATAACTTAACAGATTACACCGACTGCCAGACATAATTTATCAGGTTATGATCCATAACCTGACAAATTACATCGGTGCCGGCCACAGTCTATCAAGTTATGTTCCATAACCTGTTAGATTACATCAGTTGTCGATTGAAAAAGTCAAACACAAAAGAAATATTAAACAATCAATTACACAAAGAATCAATACAAATACAATAGATTCAAATTTTAAAAACAAATCTTAGATCTCAAACTCATAATCTACTATCGATTAAGGTATAATCTATCAGTAAATTATAGCATTTTCTCTTATTGGATTTAGTTTTTGAGTCTCTCAAACTTCTTGGGTAGTTCATTTTCCACCTACTAAAAAGAATTGACTCAAAAAAGTCATATATGAGATTTTTTTTAATGAAAAGATACTTTATAAGGCACACTGCCAATAAATAAAAGGAACAAAGTTGTTTACTAGCTACAAAAAACAAGAACCACAAACGAAAAAAAAGCTCCCATAAACCTTGACCAAGCAAACTCACAATGCTGTAGATCATCTGCTAAGCCTTCAATGTCACAGATTAGCACTTGAGATCATCTGCAGACCATGATTAGGAGAATTGATTTCTAAAAGCCAATAACTCTAATTCTTAAACTTGTGAGGTATGCATATATCATTGAGATGTGTAGAACATATGAAAATAAATTATTTTTTATGATGGTACAATCACATGGTAAGAATCCAAAAACATAAAGCTGCATTGCACAGTAACAAAGAGCAAGAAAATCTGAATTGCCAAATTTAAACAAAAATACTTTCAACTGGAAAATAATACAACTAAAAAGTAAAAGTATTGTTTTAGGAATAAAAGATTCTCCTCCTTAGAAAGTAAGGCATTTCTTATAGTTATTAATAAAGAATAATTAGAAGGATGAATAAAGTATAACCAAGTTAAACAAAAGAAAATGAATGAATAAAGAACATCAATTTCTTAAACATCATTTGCTTCATACACTGAATTATCTCTATTACTCTCAAATTGTTTGTTGAACCACTGATGAATCTTCAGATGAGTTGAAGATGCTAGGCAACAAAAAGTTTAATAGTGCCCATAACTCCTCAAGATTGTTCTACATAAACAAAAAAAAAAAAAAACTAAAAATTACTCAATATATCAAATCAATGAGTCCATATTAAAAAGGAACAATCTGCTTGTAAATTGTCATCTCAGTAATAATGCTTGTTTCTTCTTGTAGGGAGACAAGAATTTAGTTTTTACGTATAATGAATTTTTTTTTTCTTTTTCTTATAGTACCGGTTAACAACGACCTTAGTGGTGAAAAGTGTTGGGAATGGTGTCCTACAAGCATGAGATGTAATAGAATATTTATTATTTATTTAATAAAGGAGTTTATTCATTATTTTATGTGCATATATTTATGAATATTTTATGAATATCAATAAAAATTCCATGATTATTTATGTAACCTTAAACATTGTATATAAGTGTTATATACAAGAGGATAATGTTTAAGGATAATAATCAAAAAGCAATGTTCATAATGAATTTAATTAAAGTTAGGAATCATTAATTAAAATATTATTAATACATGTCATTCCCATTTAGAATGGAACGGTGTTATCTGCACTGTTAATATGGTGAGATATTGAATGAGTGTATTTCGTATAATGAGATTGTGTGGAACATGGACACAGACACAATATGAATTTCTAATAATTTCCGTTAAGTATAGAAATTCTAATTGAGTCTACCGATGGTCATATATAGAATGATCTTAATCCTGAGTTCTTAACAGACTCCTATTTATGGATTTGTGTCTTTTGATTTACTCGGTACGGATTCTGAGATCCTGAATCCTATTCCTTGTATTTTGGAGACATGATGAAGTAGGTAGCCGGGAATGTTATTACACGAGATGGAATCCATTCCTTCGTAAGAAAGAAGTAGATAAATAATTCTCTTGAGGGTTGATTCGGTACTTGGACCAGTAGGAGCTCCGATTCATGAATGTGTTTTATGAATCA